CTAGTTAACCTTCAAAGCCCAGTCTTATCATATGTTTATTTTCAGAACCAGTACTTTCCCAAGACAGATTTTCTTACAGTTAAATCCAAGATCACTTGCTGTATTTTTTTAAAGTTTAAAACAATCCATAAAAACGCTATTTCAAATCCACCTACCATCTTAACTGTCCCCCAGTTGGCATTCTTAATTCCCTTTCTCTGTTTCCAAAAATTAAAATATTTCTTTTTGATCTTTAAACTTACTTTAATCTTCTTTCTTCCAAGATACAAGGAAAATGCCTTTCAGGAAGTTTTTAATTCCAAGTAAATCACAAATAGACAGCTTCCAATGTTAATTAAAAGAGTAAGTAAAAGCAAATCTAGTGTCTCTTTGAAGGCTCTGCGCTGCGGCTTGGGCTCGATGTTTCCCTTAACTCCCAGAGCGTTCAACCCGCTGGAGATTGCTAAATTGCAATCTCTTCACAGGGAGCCTCTGTAAGGAGTGCTTGTGGGTGATCCGGTCATCTCCTTCATCTGGAGATGGCTCCGAAGAGCTGATTTGTTCGGCAGCTCCTCTATTACCATGGGCATTGGCTCTGCAAAAATGGAGCCGTATTCAGTCTGCCATTGCTCCCCCAGAAGTCTTGGAAGTCTGTGGTTCTGATTTATAAGAAGATGCAGAAGAACACCAGACAGATTCAGGCCTGTTCAAGGCTTCCATCTGTCAGCAATTTCTTGGGAGGCATAGCCTTTGAATGTTATTGTTTGTATTTATTTAATTCAGAGCTTGGGGCCCCAGTGCTAAAAGTTGAGTTTCTTTTAAAACATTATGGAGGCAGACATTAAAAAACATGCGTATTGTTTCTATTGGTTGTGAGAATTTTCATTTTTTTAAAAAATGGCCAATTTTTAATAGGTTGGTTGGAAGGCAGCATTCAGCATAAATTTGTACCTTGCCTAATTTTGTTGCCTGCAGTGAAAAAGGGGATTATTTTCAATTCTTGTTCTTTTGGAGGAATACTTAAAATAAAATAAAATGAATTCTAGAACATGAGGTGTTTTATTCTGACTTTGGAGCATTTGAAACATTTGGAATGTTTTGAGCTCAAAAGCTTTGGCATATGGTTATTGAAAAAAATGTGGAGAAATAGCTCCATTTATTTGTGGTGACATTAAAGCTATTGTATGATTTGAGCATGAAACTGAGCAAACTCCGGGAGGCAGTGAAGGACAGGAAGGCCTGGCGCAATATGGTTCATGGGGTCACGAAGAGTCGGACACAACGACTGAATAACAGCTATTGTATGATTTGAGCATGAAACTGAGCAAACTCCGGGAGGCAGTGAAGGACAGGAAGGCCTGGCGCAATATGGTTCATGGGGTCACGAAGAGTCGGACACAACGACTGAATAACAGCTATTGTATGATTTGAGCATGAAACTGAGCAAACTCCGGGAGGCAGTGAAGGACAGGAAGGCCTGGCGCAATATGGTTCATGGGGTCACGAAGAGTCGGACACAACGACTGAATAACAACAACAATAATTTGTTATTTTGTGCAGAAGTAGTTGTTCTAAAGCGTTCTGTGGCCATTGTCTCAGAGGCATTTCACTGTCTTCTGCTAGTGGCACAAGGTGGTTTTTCCGTTTGATCTGCCATCCCACTCTTGTGGCTGATGCAGTCTTATTTTCCTGCAGCCATTTGCCCAAGATCTACCAGACCTTCATCATGTCAGCTACCTTCAGTGAGGATGTGCAGGCGCTGAAGGAGCTGGTGCTGCACAACCCTGTAAGAAATGGCGGGTTGGCATTATGGGGGCAGGCTGACTGGGTACTTTTCTGATCTACAGGCTTCTTACTGCAGATTGCCAGCTTTGAGTTGGGTTTGACTTCTGACCCAGCTGTGGTGGCACAGAGTCTGGAAGAAGCCACCTTCTGCCTTTCTGTAGAGGCAAGTTTTCATATTCCTCTTATGTAGGTGACTCTCAGGCTGCAAGAAGCACCATTGCCAGATAGCTCCCAACTGAGCCAGTTCCAGATCCAGTGCGAGACTGAAGAGGACAAATTCCTGCTGCTGTACGCACTCCTAAAGCTTTCATTGGTGCCGGGAAAAGTTCTCCTCTTTGTCAACAGGATTGACCGCTGCTACCGCCTCAAACTTTTCCTGGAGCAGTTTGGGATTGCTGCCTGTGTGCTCAACTCAGAGTTGCCTGCTCAGTCCCGGTGAGTCTCAACAAGTTGGAGCTTGGGGTTGGGTGAGGAAGGACTGTTGCTGCAACTCTGAGTGGGTTGGCAGAAATGGCCTGACACGTTGGAAGGGCCTGTATTTCCTGGACGCTGGCAGTTGTATTCCAGGCTCACTCCCAGGAGAATACAGTGCTTCCAGCTGGTGGGGAAGTGGTGAGGCTTGATGATCTCTGGGATTTGGAAGGAACCCCCAAAATCAGCAGCTCCTGGTTTGATAATCTTCCAGATCCCACATCATCAGCCAGTTCAATCGGGGCTTCTACAATTACATCATTGCAACAGATGAGCAGGATCTGGCAGAACCAGAAGGGACTAGCAGGAGGAGGAAGAAGGGCACCAAAGCAGAAAAGTAAGTTTTGCCTCCCTCAGAATGAATGAATGAATGAATTTGTTTGTTTGTTTGTTTGTTTGTTTGTTTGTTCAATTTATTCGCCGCCCATCTCCCCCCAATGGGGAACTCTGGGCGCTCACAAAGTATATATAGTCCTAACAGTGACAAATCTTACAATTACAAATCCTACTGTGCTATATATATATATTACACTGTGAGACCAGCAGTGGTCGCTAGGGGGTCATCCGGGCTTTTTCCTCCTCTGAAGATCTTTCTCGCCGCTCGCATTGATCGTTGCTCGTGCCGGCTGCATTCGGAGTTCGGCCAGCACCGGTATTTTGCTCCCCCGCGCAGCACCGCCAGTTCCTCCCGTCTAAACGGGAGTCCCCATTTATCTACTTGCAGATGGAATAGCTTTCGAACTGTTGGGTGAGCAGAAGCTAGGAGAAGGGATGGGAGCTCACCCCGTCCCACGGAGCCGGGCCCGAACCATTTCTGACCGGCAAACTCCAGCGTCATCGTGGATTAAATAAAGTTGCCTTGGAAGGGGTTTCTTCTTTGGCTTGCTAGCCAGACAATAGCAACCTCCGCCTACTTTTCTGTGTTGCCTTTCAGGGGCAAAGATCAGGAATATGGGGTCTCACGTGGCATTGACTTCCAGAATGTGTCTGCCGTCTTCAACTTTGACTTCCCTCCTTCTTTTGAATCCTACATCCACCGAGCAGGCAGGTCAGTGGCAGCAGCTGTGAAATCCAGGGGTCTCTCTTTCACGGAAGTGTGACAGTGCAGCAGAGCCCAGCTCCTTTGGGGCTTCTCAGGGCTGGACCCTGCCACTCCAGATGCGTGCGGCTTTGGTAATGCATCTGGCACGAAATTGGCTTGTTTTCAAATAGCTTTCTGAGTCAACTTGAAAAGGCAAATTCCACTGCTTTTGGAACCTGCTGAAATGTTTTTCATATGGTGGGGTAGAGAATGCTTCTGTGTTCTGCACAACTTTGTTTGCTTAGAAGCATTTTCTCTGCCCACCTCTCAGTAAGGTCTTGCTATGTACTTTCCCAGGATGATAAACAACCCAGCAAGAACTCATATTCTTTGCTCTGGGCACAGCGTTCTTCAGCTTTTATTTGAAAAATCCAAGAAATCTGTTTGTGAAGGTCTTGGCAACATTTTGGAGATGCCAGAGAAGTTTCTGAGCAAAACATTGAGGGATTAGGAGGCGGTGCTCCTGTTTAAGACAAGTTCAGCATTGGTCTTTTTGGCTCTTCCTGTAACTAAGAAATAGGCTTTTGGGTGGAATGCAGCTTTTCAAATTCTCCTGAGTCTTCATTTTAGCCTCAGCCAGGTAGGAGAAGTAGATGCACTCAGATCTTAATTGTCTCTGAAGAGGATTGAACAACAAAAAAATTGCAAATAGCAAAGTAAAAAAACCTGAAATCCCAAATATTTCTCTGGGGGCAAAGGCACATCTTCCCATGAATCACTTTGCAAGTGCTGTGCCTGAAGCTGGGGAGCCAGGCCATTTGGTGGTGCTTTCCGGGAAGAACAGCTGCTCTCACGTTCTGTCCTTGACTGGAGGCAGTGGCCATCTTAATGCCCCCTCTTGCGGCTCCCCCGTCATGCTCAGGGGCTCGTCTTGCTGTCCCTTGCTTGCCTCAGGGTTTCCAGGGTTTTGGTGTGAATCACCTGTTGGCTCTCCTTTGCAGGACAGCCCGTGTTCACAACCCAGGCACTGTCCTGACCTTCGTCTTGCCCTCTGAGGGCCTTCTGCTGGCCAAGATCGAAGAGGTGCTTACAGCCGGTGGGTGAGACAAGAGCTGAGCTCAAGAAAAGTTCTGGGGGGACAGAAGAGAGGGATGGTGTCCCCAAGGCTGTGGAGAAATCAGCCTGGGCACAGAGGGCTCAGTGCAGTGACTTGGCCAGCTGGGGGGTCGCCATGTCTTGTAAGTGACATCTGCCTTTCCCTCAAACCAGTTTCTTCTGTTGGTCCCTTAGAGAGCAGAACCAAATACACCTTGAGGCCTTACCAGTTCCGGATGGGGGAGATCGAGGGACTCCGCTACCGCTGTCTGGTAAAAGCCATTTTGCATGAAGGAGACCAAGGTGGGGTCCTGGGGAAAGGCATTGCAGCTGCTTTTCTCCCCTACACAATGCCCCCTGCCCTTGCAAGTGAGATCTGCACCGCCACCATTGTCTTTGGAAGGAAAGGCAGCTGGGGCTGTTGCAGAGACTCCTGGGCATTCAGTCTTTTCCATCGTGGTTTCAAGAGAAACTTCTGGGAAAAGAAAGTTATTTTCTGTAGCAAGCGGCTGCTGTTAAGCATTGGAGGGAATCCAGGCTGAATGTCTTAAAACAGAGAGACAGGAACGAATACCACAGAGGCATTAGTGCAGCAGTCTGAGCAAAATGTGTCCTCTTCTGACACATCATACTGCCTCCCCGACTGTAGTTGGCTTATGGCATTGAGCAAGCACTGCCCCTGGCATGTTCTCTCTCCCCTCCTTGCCCCAGGATGCCATGCGTTCAGTCACCAAGCAAGCTATCAAAGAAGCTCGACTCCGTGAAATCAAAGAAGAATTGCTCAACTCAGAGAAACTCAAGGTATCCTGTGTGGGGGCAGTGAAGCTGGCCCCCCGTCTCCCCCTGCTACCTTCTCCTTCCCAGTAGTACAATCGGTCCAGTTATATGTCTGATGGGGGCTGATCAAACCACTGACTCTTTTTCCCTCAGACCTACTTTGAAGACAATCCCCGGGATCTGAATTTGCTGCGCCATGACAAGCCCCTTCACCCAGCAGTCATTAAGCCCCATCTGCGTAATGTGCCAGAATACTTGGGTAGGAACAACGTTTTGGGTGGTATCTCCACTGTGAGGAGGGGAGAAGACCCTAGGAAGGGACTGTTGGGCTTCCTGCATTTGGGACAGACCAAGTGCTTCCCCTCCTAGCATATATGCTCACTTCTCTTTTTAAATGGGTTTTGGACATTCTACCTGTATGGCAGAAGAATTCATCCATGTTCCCAAGGAAGCAGAAATGCATTGGTGTAGTGTGCAAGACCAGGACAAAAGGGGGTGGGAAGGGCAGGTCTTTCTGGAACTTGATAGACTGTTCCTCTTGTAGTGCCTCACAGTCTCCAGCCAGCAGTTCGTCCCCTGACTGGGAAACGCAAGCGGCGGAAGTACCTGACCTCCACTAGCAAGGTTGGTATTCTCCTGCTGACCCTCCATTCCAAGTACAGGTAGTCCTCACTTAAGCGAATCATCATATGACCGTTTTGCTTAGCGACCGCAATCCCAGCAGTCCAGGTTGCCATTGTTAAGTGAATGCCCTGGTCATTAGGTGAAGCAACTTCCTGCCAGCTTCCCACAATCAAGTCAGTTGGGAAGCTGGCAGGAAGTTGCAAGCCCAAGGTGCTGTCAGGTGGGGGAGGTAGCAGGAGGTGGGAGTGCATGGGAGGGTCGGTGAGGGTGCGCGGAGGTGTAGTGCAGGTTGGGTGCGCAAGGGCCTCAGAGCCACTTGGATTTTCAGCCCCAGAGTGGAAAGGCTTCTGAAGTTTCTCCACTCCGGGGCTGAAAATCCTGCTTGGAATTTGGCATGGAGCTTTTTCACCCAGCCCTCAGGAACGAGAGGGAGCGCAAAGAAGGGATGAAAAAGGCTGCTTTCGGCTCTTTTCCCCTTTCTCGCAGCACAAAGACCTCTTTGGAGCTTCTGGGCAGGGGTGGGGCTTGTCTTCCGTCGGGGAGAAAGGGGGAAAAGGGCGACGAGACGCTTTTTTTTCCCCTTTCTCGCAGCACAAAGACCTCT